TGGATTACGGCATGACGACATCGGCCTAGATCGGACGGGCGGACTGACCCGACTCAGTCCTGGGCCTTTAGGGTGGAGGCATCGTGTCGTGAGAAAGTAATTGAGGTGGGCAAGCGGTGGAAACCGAGTACGTAGGACTGAGGGTCAGCCAAGAAGGAAGTCGGAAAGCGCTGACGCCGAACGCGCGAGACTAGCTTGATGTGGTCGCAGCACCTTTTGGAGTAACGCATCCATATCTTTGAGGTGTGCATCTCAATCAGAGCGGCATAGCTCGCCGCCCACTCATGGAAATCTAGAGCAGAGCTATCGTGAAAACCCATCAACTGTGTTTTGCTGAGTTTTGAGCATGGACAAAAGCGGTATGCACTTCTTGTGTCCAGCCTTCCTAAAAGAACCTACACCCCATATTTAAGTGGCGGCTGCTCGCTTAGTAAGGACCAGTTTTCCCCACGTGCGGGCTGGCATCCTGCAAAGAACCTTAATTGCACCCACAGACATCTTTTTCACGACAAACAGCGCCGGTTCTATCACGGGCTTATCGTGGTAGGCTGAGAGAATTGCCCTGGATTGGATGCAAGTTCCCGTCGAGGATCCAAGTGCCGTCTCAACGTACCCGCACAGCCGGCTTTCCCCAGAGCATGACGTCAGATGCTATTTTGCGACATCACGACTGCGCTCAACCAAGAGCCTCGGAGTTCTGAAAATGCCGCCTCTTACCATTGGAGGATCTTTCGATGCAGAGTCAATTTGTCGCACACACTGTAGGTACGCGTCAGGCTAGCTGCTGTGCTCAGCGTGGTTGCTCAAGACAAACACATGATGTAGCCGCACGTCAGCTGGAAATACAATTACGATTACTCGGAAGGATTTGGTGTGCCAATTGTGCCACACCTCAACCGTTTTCCAAGCTCACTTGGCGGACTCGCACCGAAGTCGACATCTTTGCTCCCGAGCACGCAATTCCGGCCTTGAATCTCTATTGGACACTAGTGCGAACCGTCAGCGACCATCACATCCTTCGCGCCCCATCCCTGTCGCCGCACCCGCACACCCTTGCAAGCTCGACCCATCGAGCATCAGATTGTTGCCGGTACCGCGGCGAAAAGCGTCACGGTCGCTAATAATCACTTAGATCTGATCGGCATATCAGGGCATTATGTCACTTGTCAGATCCCTTCACTCGGGCTTTGCTTGGAAATACTTCCTACCCATCTCATCCTCTCTATCGTAGCAGTGGCCTTATTGCCTCGACATTCCCCCTACTGCGCATAAACTATTAGCGTACGTCAACACCAACTCCGATCCAGTAACGGAAGCGATCACGCAATTTCTCGTCATATCAAGCAATCCCGAGGCGTCGTAAAGGCTTCGGTCCTTCCCACATCCAGGGCACTCAAGCTTCCCAAGCTACCTTGACTTCGAAGCTCACAGGCCGATCCTGGAGCCCAGACCGGCACAGCACCACCGCCATTCGTCCCAGAGAGACCGCGTGCGCTTCACTCCAAGCCTCCAATTGCTTGCGCTGTGCTTGTTCATACCCGCCCGTTCGGTGGACTGCATAGATAAGCTTTCGGACGTCCGTCAGCTCTTGTCGTTGCTTCTAAGGCTTATTCGGTCTTGTCAAACTTAGTACTGGGTTTCAGGCACGTGGCATTCCAGTGCTGATCCAGTGCATCTCCGTTCGAGCGCGTTGGAGACCTCTCATCGCAACGATGGCTTCTACAGCCAGTAAAGTCGGCGAAGGCCTGGCAAAAGTGTTCGGCATCGACTTGCACTACCGGAATGAAACTGGCTCGGAACGCATAACTCGAGGCGAAAGCGTCTTCACCATCGACTCCGCAGACACCTATGTCGAGGAAGAACCTACCGCGAAGGAATGGATCAAAGACACTCTTCCCAGTGGGCACGAGCTGAGAGAATACTGCTCCAGCTTGTTTCCGTTTCTTTCCTGGATAGGCCGATACAACGTACAATGGTTGATTGGAGATCTTGTTGCTGGTACGTCACATTTTAACAGTATCATTGTATAGCTATTAACTTTTGTCAGGTATCACTGTGGGCGCTGTTGTAGTTCCTCAGGGTATGGCCTATGCGAAGCTCGCTGAGCTTCCAGTCGAATTCGGATTGTACTCTTCCTTCATGGGTGTACTCATTTACTGGTTCTTTGCTACCTCGAAGGACATCACCATCGGACCCGTTGCCGTTCTATCCACAGTCACGGGCGGTGTCGTGCTGTCCGCAGAAGAGAAACTTGCTGGCCAAGACATCTCACGAGACATGATCGCGTCCGCCTTGGCCATCATTGCCGGATCAATCGTTCTCTTCTTGGGTCTTGTCCGCATGGGTTGGATTGTGGACCTCATCTCACTGCCTGCTATCTCGGCTTTCATGACCGGCTCTGCCCTTAGTATCGCTGCTGGGCAGTTCCCTGCCATGATGGGTATCACAGGATTCTCGACTAGGGACCCCACGTACAAAGTGGTCATCAACTCGCTGAAGTACCTTGGACGAACCGATCTCAACGCATCATTCGGCCTGACCTGCCTGTTTCTCCTATATGCGATCCGGTTTACCTGCGGTCAGCTAGCAAAGCGCTTCCCCACCCGCGCCAAGCTGTTTTTCTTCATCAACACCCTGCGAACGGTGTTCGTCATTTTGCTGTATATCCTATTCAGCTACCTGGCAAACCGAGAGCACAGGGCCAACGGAACCAAGCCGATCATCAAAACCCTTGGAACTGTTCCACGAGGTAAGATGCTTCCTGAGCTTGATCAAACTCATTACTTACATTTCCAGGCTTCCAACACGCGCGCGTGCCCAAGATTACGATTCCCATCATCAAGTCCTTCGCGACCGAACTCCCATCGACAGTCATCGTCCTCCTCATCGAGCACATCTCCATCGCCAAGTCTTTCGGACGTGTGAACAACTACGTTATCAACCCATCGCAAGAACTCGTAGCCATTGGTGTCTCCAACTGCCTCGGCCCCTTCCTGGGAGCATACCCCGCGACAGGTTCTTTCTCACGTACTGCCATCAAGTCCAAGGCTGGTGTGCGCACGCCTTTTGCAGGTGTCATTACGGCCGCCGTAGTGCTACTGGCCATCTACGCACTCCCAGCTATGTTTTGGTACATTCCCAACGCAGCGCTATCGGCAGTCATTATCCACGCAGTGCTGGACTTGATTACCCCGCCAAACACTGTATACCAATTCTGGAGGATCTCACCGCTTGAAGTTATCATCTTCTTCGTTGGTGTTCTCGTCACCGTCTTCTCCAGCATTGAGAATGGCATCTTCGTCACGGTGTCAGTGTCCGCAGGCATGTTTGCTTTCCGTCTCTTCAAGGCCAAGGGCCGCTTCATGGGTAGGGCCAAGATCCACTCCGTGATTGGCGACCATCTGTTGGACCCAACCGAGGAAGACAAGATGTCGCCGCCTGGTGTTCGGCAAAAGCCCTCGGAGGGAGAGCACTCTGTTCGTGAAGTCTTCCTACCCATCGATCACAAAGACGGATCCAACCCAAGCATTCAGCTGGAAGACCCTTACCCAGGTATCTTCATCTACCGATTCAGCGAAGGCTTCAACTACCCCAACGCAAACCACTACCTCGACCAGCTCACCGACATCATTTTTGCGAAGACGCGCCGTACAAACCAAGCGACCTACAACAGACCGGGAGACCGCCCATGGAACGACCCTGGCCCTCGCCGTGGCAAGGATACCCAAATTACCGACGACCGACCCACGCTCAAGGCTATCATCCTCGATTTCTCTTCAGTCAACAATGTCGACCTTACTTCAATTCAAAACCTGATCGATGTAAGAAATCAGCTCGACAAGTACGCGGCCCCAGACACCGTCGACTGGCACTTCTGCAACATCAACAACCGCTGGACCAAGCGCTCGCTCGCCGCCGCCGGCTTCGGCTACTACACTCCTGAGATGCCGGATAGCGGCATCACCCACCGCTGGAAACCGATTTTCAGCGTCGCCGAAATCGGCGGCTCCGACTCTGCCGCCGCGGAAGCAGAAGCACGCGAGAACCTCCTCGCACAACGCACATTATCGCAAGTACGAAGTCGCGACATTGAGGCTGCGCATCCCGACTCGGGCGATAGCTCCGAGACGGGTAGTATCACCAAGCAGCTGGAGCACAGCAAGGCGTATGGACACGCCGATGCGCAGGATGCTAGACATAGGGGCCGGATAGCGGTTGTTCAAGGGCTGAACAGGCCGCTGTTTCATGTGGATGTTACGGCTGCGCTTAACAGTGCGTTGGCTAATGCGCAGAGGAAGAGTCACTAAGCAGGGTGTTGCGGCCTTTGCGTTTGTGGTAATAAGGACGAGTTTTTCTTTCAGTACATACTATATAGAGATGATATCTATTTGCGCTCGGCTGTTTGCCTTGAGTGTTGCTTTTCCTGTTCAAAGACTAGTCCTACGATCTGCGTGCGTGATGACGTGAGCGTGCGATGTCGCTCTTGCTGGTAGCTGACGTGAGATGGTTCGTTAGGCGGCCATTTCGTCCTTTCTAGATTGATCACGATGGCAAAGGTGAGATCTGGTCGGTCATGGTGTCTTTGATGATTGTTTTCATTCCATTTAGTCCATTTTGGTGCTTCTGCTCCTGCTTTCGTACGCGTGGGTATATGTACCGCGTCATGCCCCAAATACAAAACATCAACGCCATGCTATGCTCTGTCCAGAACCATGTTTGCTTGCATCCATACAGTGAAAGAAAAGTCCTGCTCCTCGTGGTGAAAGCCAGATGCTGCCCCCAAGATGTCCGCGCCTGCTTGAAAGTCCCGCTCTCTTTGCGCAGACGTTCATGTTTCCAAAAAATGTGCTGCCTGAGTTGTGATACTGTAAAGGTGTAGCGACAACACTGGTTCTTGCTCTTCGTTGTTCCATGCCTGATGTCGTACAGATGACATCAGCGTCTTTTTCCTCCCATGTCCTGCGAACTCTCATCCCTGTGAGCTCGCAAACGATCGACGTCTAGTTGTACGCTTCAGCTGGCAAAGACTCGCGACTTTGTGCGAATAGAGCACCGGCTTGCTCAATGTTCCACTGTCCAGCTTCCAGGCACTGAATAGCGTAGTCGCGCTTAAGATTGGTTTCGCGCTGAACGTAAAGAATCATCTCTTCCTTCCTCTGCTGCTCCGGGTCGACGATTGCAGGTGCGGGTGTTGGTGTGGTAGCAGCCGGTATTTGCTGTGCGTTTGCTGCGTTGTTGTTTGCCGGTGCGTCAGGACGGACCTGATTGCCATTCAAGATTTTGAGTTTGGGGAACCACGAGACGATTTCATCTTGCCAGTTCGGGTTGGGAAACGGGTCGACGATGAGGTGTTCGACGTTTCTGAAGCGGCCTTTCCATGGCTTTAAGGCGTCCAGCGTCGCGAAAGCGTTGTTGCTTAGATCCAGGTTTTGAATGTGGCGGAAGTGGTTGCAGAGTTGGTAGACGGCGTGTGTGTTTTGAAGGTTGTTGCCGGCGAGTGTGACGCTGTGGATTGCTGCTTCTTTCGCTTCTTGCGTCTCGAGAATGGCGTCGCAAACAATCATGAGGGCGGGAAAGAACTTCTTTTGTGCGCCTTCCGATGCGAACATGCCGGATTGGAGAATTTCTTGGTCGCCGGCAATAGTTGATAAGTTCAACAGCTTGTTGGTTGCATCGTAGCGTCGTCCTAGGAAGCCTTCCATCAGCGGATATGATGGATTTGCCTTGAGTCTTTCCAGGGTTTCTTTGTCGATCGCCGGCTCTCGTGAGCGATTGTCTGTGCGATTGTCGTGCTGGAAGTGATTTTGGCCTCCCCTGAATCCTCGTCCTCGTCCTCGTCCCCTGCCCCGTCCGCGTGAAGACTCGCCATCGACCATCATCTGATCGTCGTCATGGTTTTGTGGTGTGAATGAGACGCTCCAGTTCCCGCGTCCTCGGCCGCGACCACGTCCTCGCCCACCTCTTGGTTGATCGTTCATGTTCATTGGAGTATGTTGGTTGTGTGTTAGAAGTGGAAGAGATTAATCAAGCAAGACTGAGCAGATGGGATTGTCTATAAAGTCGGAAGGTCTGTGCGCCGCCAAGCCACAGTTTTCCAGTTCGTCCAATTGTCATTGGCCAAAACCCATGGAACCTTCGACGTCGACCAAGTTCACTGCTATTGTGCTCTTGCTGTCACCTATTGTTTCATGCTCTTTAGTCATGCCCACTTATTGAAAATCGTGATCTGAGTGCAAACAATACGGTTCTCTCGTGCTGACTCCTCGGGTTGCAATCAGGCAGCAAGGCAGTCACTTTGATGACAGCCCAAGGAAATTGATCCCGTCAGCCAGCAAAGCCATCCACTAAGCTCTCTCCTGTCGACCCGGAGTGTGATTTAAGGGCCTTTGAGGCTCTAGTTGCACAATGCTTTCTATACTTACCAAAAGACCATGTTTTTGACACCCAGAAATGTCAGTATGATTGAACACAGGAAAGCAATGCATGTCATCTGGTAGTCGACTGAGACCGACAGTAAAGTAAGTGTGCGTTTGATAGATTTCCGATCTAAATGATACAAGCCTGGTTCAGAGGAAAATCTCTAAGTCCTGATACCTCTCCATACCTCCCACCACCTACCCCACTCTCCCAGACTTGTAGCGGGAGTCTACTCTTTCCGTTGATGTCCCGTGACGCCAAAAACTCCACACATGAACGCGCGTAAATGCAGCAATGAGACGACCTTCAGGCAACAATCGTCATCTAGTTTGAGTGGATCTTCTTGATCCTGTTGACACCCTCGTACAACGCGCGGTCCACGGCCGCAGCGACAGTAAGAGTGCCACCGATCACGGCGCAGAGACCGACGAGGAAGCCAGAGAAGGACTTTTCACGGGCTTCGCGGTTGATGACCTTCATAGGTGAGATGTCCTATTGCAACTATTAGTAACCATATCAAGCAACAAGGAGTTGGTGCTTGGAAACTTACATAAGAAAAGAAGACACCGGGGATACCACCCCGAGCGTGGATCCTCTCCTTGTGGCCCTCCTTCTCATCAGAACCACCCTGCAGACTCCTATGATGGCTGGTCACAGAGTACTGGTGCGTCTCAATGCTGCCCTTGTATGAAGCATCAATGGTCGCGCCAAGGAGCTCGTCATGTTTTGCGGAACGAGGAAGCTGGTTCTCCCAGCCGAGTGGCAAGTAAGCGGTCGACACGACCTTGATGAAGTACATGAAGTTGTAGGCCTTTTCGTCGGTGTGCTGCTCGGTGTTGTCCAGAGGGTTGATGTGGTGGTTCGACCATCCACCAGCGCCAGAGCCTGCGTGCTTCCTCTGCATGTCTTGGACAACGACATCGCTAAGCTGGGGGCCGAAGCGAAGCTGGTGAACCTTGTGGGTGAAGGTATGCGCGTACTCGTCTTTGAAGTAGTTCTCGAGATCGTGAACGTGTAGGTTGCCGTTCGAGAACGATTTTCCAGGCGCGATGTGAAAGTTACCGACAACCTTGTTGACGCGGATGCTACCCTCAAGACGGCATCCTTCCTGACGTTGTTGGTCGAGATGTTCGGCGTAGTGTTCCCGCTCGCATTGTTCGACTCCCTCTCCACGACCGAAAGACCAAGATATCGAGGCGTATGCGTCGCGGACTTCGTCGCAGGTATTGCAGCAGCCGGGTTTGATTGCGTTGGTGGGGGCAGGTGCGCCGTAACATTCGCCGCAGTAGTCGGGAGCAAGATGTGACGCTTCGTCCGCATGCCTGAAACCGTCGTTAGCACTCTGTTGCTTCCCGTGTATGTCTGCGCCCAACAGCGACTCCTTGTAGACTTACAGATCCAAAGCCTTGATATCAATAACCTTGCTACCCTCCTTCTCAGGGCTCAGTCGCACCTTGTTGATGCCATGCGTGACACCCATCTGCAACTCTCCGGAAACATCCATGACATCGAGTGTGAGCAGCTCGCATGGTACCCGTGGGAATGTTACGTTCAGGGCAATTTCCATGCGTTCGCCTCTGCCCTTATCAACCACCAATTCCGGTCGCACAGTCACTCTCCTGTAGTCGGCCCACTCGCCCCACGTTAACCAGAAGATAACCAACAAGCTGACTATGGTGACGATTCCACCAGATGTAGTGCGCACGCGCGCATCTTCGACCGTCTTGGTGAAGGCGTCGAGCCTCGTGAATCGCGATTTGGCGGGCATAACGGCGGGTTACCGCTGCAGGGTAGGCGTAATTGTAGGAAGTTGGTGTGAAGCCCTACAGTAGAAGGCAATTGGGGTCGAGACCAGTGGGGTTGAGGGTGTAGCCGAACGTTGTCTCGAGACGTGGTCGTAGCTCGCGTCTTGAACAAGGACCGAGTTGACTTGAACTGCAAACGCAATTGGCGCTGCTTGTTGAAAGAGGTGAAAGCGAAGGAATGAATATCAGCACTGTCCGTGCAAAAGCCGCAGTATCATCGTACAGAGAAGAGAACTGGCAAGCAAGTCAACGCGTGGACGCGGCAACGTTTCGGCTGGACTAAAGGACAGCTATGCGACTGAACACTAGCTCCGAGCGCCGCACCACGCTAGCGTGCTTCGGGTAGAGGCGCATACCGAGCACGTGGAGCTGCAGCCCTGGAGCGGTTCACCAATACCAGGAACCGTTTAGAAAAAGGGGGAATGGAGAGTTGCAGTCAAGTTGTACACAGAATCGAAGTAATTTCATTAGGTCTTAGAGGCATGCAGGATGCTCTGTCATACCGCTATTCAAAGGTGAACCAGATTGGCGTTATGCCATCTGAGGGGCATATTATAAATAGCCTACGAAGCGAGAACGTTTCTGAGCATGCTGTTGAAACCATCACTGAGCTTGTATAGCTCCACGATAGGTGGCTTTTTCGGTTCGCCTGCCTTTCTCCGAAGCTTCTCAGCAGCGCGCGCTCGGCTCTTGCGCTCAGCCTCAATCGGGTCTGCGATATCTGTATCGTCCATGTCTTCCGAGTCGGTGGAGTCGCTACCATCATCATCGAGTTCAAGATCCTGGAGGTCCATCTGTATCTCGTTAGTATATGGCCAATATGTTGTCAGAGAGGAGAACGAACCGCGTTCAGCCCAAAGTCGCTCGACTTGAAGCCGGCGATACCACCCATAAGCGGATCAGGGTCATCACCACCGCTCGCCATCTTTTGCCTTGTCTTGTCCGAATGCCACTTCTTCCTCGCCATTTGCCACTTGATCAGACTGTTGATCTCACGAATGGCCTTGTTCTTGTCGATCATATTTGAATCGATTCCACCCTGGAAGAGCGCATTCATATCAAGCTTACCGCCACTTCCAGGGCCGTGACGCAGGAAGTCCAAGATACCCTCTAGCCATCCCATGAGCTGGTCGAAGAGACCGTTGTCATGCTTGTGCACCTCGTGAACGAACTTGTAGAAGTTATCCTCGTGGCGGGCGCACAGATCTATGAAGGCCTGCACGGTTTGATTGGGGTCTGCAGAAATTTCTTGCCGTTGACAAGCTTCGATGGTTTTGATGGTGTCATCGGCGAACATGGCGAAGTCGGTAATACTGTTGTAAACGTTTGCGGATTTGTATACACGGACAAGAGGTTCGTAGAAGATGGTGAACAAATCCCGGAAGAGCTGCAGCGTGGTCGGCTAGAAGTACGTCAGTCATTCATCGCTGAAATCGCCTTTCCGTCAAACTTACTTCTTCGATGATCTGGAGCATCATGAGCTTATCCCTCTGTCTGAGACACAGCTTCAAGTATTGCTTGAGGTGCGCGAAAAGCTCAGCGCCAGATCGCATCTCCTTCTCGACCTGACCGGTCGCGTTAGTAGCTGTGCTGACGGTGCTGCGGGTGCTAGCTCTTCTGCTGAGGCGGCTCGATCTCACATTTTCGACCGCGTTGTTCCATGCAACGTAGGCATTGAAAACCTTCTCCACTTGTTGCGAAGACAATTCTGGTTGGAAGAACTCGGAGCGCAGTATGGTCACGACGACATCGACGTTGTCGCGCGCAGCTTCTTGTCGAATCGCTTCCTTGACACCTTCATCCGCTTGTACGTATGCTTTGATCTTGTCGCAAAGAACATCATCCTTGATCCTCGTGGAAGCAAGTGTGTCGATCGTCTTCTGTACAGAGTTGACACCGTCGTTGATAGCCATACCAAATATACGCTGAAGTAATGAACGAGCGCCGAACGGCTGTGCAAGGAACAGATCCAGAACCCCACTCATGACGGCTGCAGGGTTGGCTATCCTAATGACGTTCTTGAGGACACCGTAAGGAACGAGAGAATGTATGCGTTTCGCCTGTGCAAACAGCTCGGGGGAATTGTCCTCGGCTAGGAACAAATGGTAGATGGTAGCAGCCACTTCTATCCGTAACCACTCTGCGAACTTTTGGTACTCTGGCTTCAGGTCTCGGATGGTGTTCTTGACTCTGACCTCTTGGAACAGGTGTGAGAGTCCATTGCTCTCTACAATTTCTCTCCTGAACTTCTCCATGTGGATGTCAAGCTCCGCTGCTCGCTTCCGCGCGACTTCGTAGAACTGCTTTTGTTCCTCGATGCGCTTCTTGTCCATCTCTTCTCGCCTCTGGATGTCTTCCATTTCTTCCTCATTGACCTCAATGGGATCGTGTGTCAGGAATTCAGCCATGGCACTTGACTGGGCGATTCGCTCGTTGTGTAGGAATGATCGGAGGAATGCGCGAAGAGAAACACGTTGTTC